GCTCGTCTCACTTGGCTTGTTTGGCCCCTCTGAGGGCTAGGATTGCTGAGAGAGAAACGGGGGTGCGGGTGGACTGTGGGAGCGGTGGGCGGGAAGGGCAACAAGAAGCTCTAGGAGTGCAGAGGACTGCACCTGGAGATGAAGTTTTTGATGTTTTGTTCGAGGCTGAGGAAGCCGAAGCCCGAGTTTTGTTGGAGGTCAGGGAGCCTGGTGCAACGACAGAGGCTCCCGTGCAAGACACCTCCGCTGTGTCTGACCCCCGTGCGGAGTTGAGGGTTGTGTCCGACTTGCTGCGTAGCGAGGGGGATGTTGCCCCTCTGAGTCCGAACCGCCCTGGGGGCTCGGAGTCGGGGTCAGACTAATGCCTGGGGGACTGGCGCGTGGCCAAGGGACATCCTCCCTCCTTGGGAAATGAGTCCGTGGTCGCTTGCTGGTCCCTCTTCTGGCGTTAGGTTCAGAAGTGGCTGCCCAGGCAGCCGCTTTGTCAACCAGGTCAGGCCGCCGTGGCCAAACAAATAATCGGCACGCGTTTCAGCAGGATCGTCTTGGCGGGCGTGGATTTCCATTTGTTCCACCTCAAGCGCCACAAGTTCAAGTTGAGAAGATCGTAATCAAGCGGGCACTTGCACTTGCCACGACGACAGCGAGCCAGCCGATGATTATGGTTCTAGATGCTACGCTTCCTCGTCGGGGAGATCTCACCGACTGGTATCAGAAGCTTACTAATGGCAACGCTCGAGCACGACGTTACTTGATGTGCCCTGAATACACGTGTAATGATGATGAGTCTCGTTCTGGTTTGATGGATATGACAGACTTTGGTGTGAACCCAGCGTTGGCCGTCATCGATTTCATGAAGAGTGGGAATGTTTTGGCTGTGTGCATGGAGCCCCAGCTGGAGTCTTGGGCTCTACCTCGTACAGACACTACACTTGGTCAGCCTGAGCTACGTTCTGGTGATCAACATTGGGGACTCAGGTCGCTGAAAGGCGTTGTTCTGCACCGTGTGCTGCGTGACAATGAGAATTTTCGATTAATGTTCCTTTTATTGACTGCTGCACTGTGTCTTGGTATACCATGCTGCGCGCTGGCACAGTATAAAGTGGCCTGCCGAATGCGGGCCCTCATCCCAGAGTTCCAGGATGCTTTGTGTGCTCAGCGTGTTCAACTGCAAAGACTGGATGCCTGCGCGCTCGGCGGCGATTCATACCGCCCGATGGCAGTGCTAGGCGTCCATTTGTGCTGGAATGTTTTGTCTTCGCTCGACCACGGAGACGTTTGTAATCATCAGACGCACCGTGAAGGAGAGGAGCATCGACTCGGAGAATGGCCCCAGGGCCTCGCGCGTGTGGTTGCCCGTGCTTTGGCAGGAGGCAGCCTCCAAGCACGGCTTCTGGCTGCAGATGGCTAGCCAACCTAGGGAAGGAAGGTTCGACTTGATGGAGGTGGATGGAAGATTAGAAGGTGACCCTGCTGCTTATCGCAGTGACCGCTTGGGTCACACCGACACCTGCCGCAGGCGCAGCCCTGCGCCGTGGTGGCCGTGGCGTCAAAGCCATGATGATTTGGTTGGTCGAGGGGGATTTGGAGGAAGAGGAGGGTTCGCGGTGCATGACACCTCAGGACAGGCTGTTTTGCGAGATTTAGCCTCACGCCCTTCCTTCTATCTTTCATTACCATTATGATCCTCCCCTGCTCCACCTCCGCGCCCTGTCGCAGCCACATGGTCTTGAAGTCTCAGTTCGACCTAGCCTTGCAGATGCTGATGTGTTCTTTCTACCACTACTACTTTTACTACTGCGGTTCCCGTCGCGTCAAGGCTTGGTCGAGCTCCACGACTTGCTCGACTGTCGCTGTTTCTGGCTTGGGCACAGCTACCTCAGTTCAGGGTCTTTTTCGGCTGTGCCCAAGGCGCCTGCCTTGATCGCCCGCTCCAGCGGGCACGCCTGACGCCTCGAGCGTTCGCTCCCGCGGCTTGCCTCAGAAAAGGGAGGAGGACGAGGGGCAGGGGCGAGGAGGAGCGAGGCCGAAGGCTGGAGGAGGCTTTCCGTAGCCGTCCGCCTCCGGGGGCCGTGTTCGGCCCCGTGGGCCCCACAGAAGCGGACCTGGGACAGGTTCAGAGCCTGGCTGCTCGCGGCCTGGCCTTGGGAGGTTCGAGGATGCTCGGTCTTCGTGGCGGCGAGGCATCTCCGAAATGAGCGTCCGCGGCTGGACGCAGCTCCAAACCTCGGTGCGCTCGGCGCAAGGCAGAGACAGTTGGTTGTACTGTTTCTTCTGCCGCGCAGAGCTTTGCACTCCCACGCTGAGGCCTCAGCATTTCCCACTGGTCGCGACGACTGTGCGCGCCCATTCCGTAGTCGAGATAGCTCTGTCGAGGCGGCGTCCGTTCCCGAGAGGTCATAGGCTCATTTCGAGCGCTGCTCTCTCCTGCCCTTTTGTGCCTGCGCATGTTAGACGCGGTGGGGGGCGTGGGTTGTTCCTGGGCGAGACATTGCAGTGTGGGGGTTCCCTGAATTAGAGGTCCCAGAAGGGGTCTGGAGGCTGCGGATGTCAGCCGCGGAAGTGCAGGGGGGAGGTGCTTAAACTAGAGATTCAAAAAACGGGTCTGGAAGCAACGGATGTTGGACTCGGTGGGGTGGGGGTGGTGGGCGTGTGGGCCCCAGAAGTGGTCCCAGAAGTGGTCTGGAAGGTGCGGATGTCAGACGCGGTGGGGGGCGGGGTGAGGGGCGTAGGTGGTTTCTGGGCGGTGGGGGGCGGGTTTGGGGGCGTGGGTGGTTTCCAGGCGAGAAGCTGCAGGGAGGGTGCGGGGGTCGGACGAGGTGGGCCGTGGGGTCGATTCCGGTGCAGGGAAGAAGCTGGTGCAGGCAAGAAACGGAACGGCGAGGCCAATAGTGAAGGGATATGCTCTAGTCGCACACGCCTCTGGGGCTGGCGTTAGCTCTTGGCATTGCCCATGGCCAGAAGAAGGATGAGGGATGTTTCCTTTTCCAGCTGGGGTGTTCGCCTGAGTTGCAGGTCCACGGGGGTCTCTCCCCGTATTGAAACGGAGCGTTTGTAGGGATGCATGAGGACTGGGCCTGGGACGGGAGGGTGTGTTACAGCATCGTTGATATTTCCTGATGGTAATGATGATGCCGATGATGATGATGATGATGATGATGATGATGATGATGATGATGATGTTGATGATGCTGATGTTGATGATGATGATGTTGATGATGCTGATGATGATGCTGATGGTGATGGTGATGATGATGCTGATGATGATAGTGATGATGATGACGATGACGACGATGATGATGCTGCTTCTGCTGCTGATGCTGATGATGATATGATGATGCTTATGATGATGATGATGATGATGATGATGTTGATGTTGGTGGTTGTGGTGATGATGAAGATGCTGCTGCTGATGATGACGAGGATGATGATGATTCTGATGATGCTGTTGATGATGATGCTTATGATGATGCTGATGATGGTGCTGATGATGATGAAGACGGTGATGATGATGATGATTCAAATTATGATGGTGTCAATGATGATGATGATGCTAACGCTGATGATGATGATGCTGCTGATGATGATGATGATGATGTGATGCTGTGATGGTGCTACTGATGACGATGATGATGATGATGATGATGCTGATGATGATGATGATGATGCTGATGCTGATGATGATGATGATGATGATGAGGCTGCTACTGCTGCTGCTTTGCTGATTCTGCTTATGCTGTGTTTTTGCAGGTGGTACTGGTGACGATGAGGATGCTGATGACGAGTACGACGATGGTAGTGACGCTGCTGCTGCTGATGATGATCACGATGCTGATGAAAAGGCTGATGAGAACGATGCTGATGCTTTTGATTTGATGATGATGAGGCTGGTGATGCTAACGATGCTGATGCTGATGATGACGATGATGCTGATGATGATGCTGATGGCGATGATGATGATGCTGATGCTAATGATGATGATGATGATGATGATGATGATGATGATGATGATGATGATGATGATACTGATGATGTTAGTGATGCTGGTATTGCTGATGATGGTGCTGCTGATGATGATGCTGGTGATGATGATGAGGATGACGATTACGACGATGATTATGGTGATGGTGATGATGATGATGATGATGTTGATGATTGTGATGATGCTGACGATGATGATGGTGATGATGATGACGCTTATTATTTTGCTGACGAACACGACGTTGTTAACGATGATGACGTCGGCGAAGACGATGACGATAGTGTTGCTGATGATGATGATGGTGATGATGTTGGAGATGATTCTCATCATAGTGTCGACGATGGTGATGCTGCTGATCATGATGACTGTGTTATTGTTCTTGTTGTTGTTGAGGACGATGATGATGCTGATGGTGATGCTGCTGACGACGATGACGATGATGATGATGCTGCTGATGATGCTGCTGATGATGATGTTGATGATGCTGATGGTGATGGTGATGGTGATGGTGATGATGCTGATGATGACGACGACGACGACGATGATGATGATGATGATGATGAGGATGATGATGATGATGATGATGATGATGATGATGATGATGATGATGATGATGGGGCGACGGCGACGTTGTTGGTGCTGGTGGTATTGATTCTAGTCATGCTCATGACACGGCGAGGGGGTAGAGCAGGAGGAGGAGAGGGTGGAGCAGGAGGAGGAGGGGGAGGAGGAGGAGGAGGAGGAGGAGGAGGAGGAGGAGGAGGAGGATGAGGAGGAACTGGAGGTGGTGGCGGAGGCGAAGGAGGAGGAGAGGGAGGATGAGGAGAATAAGGACGAGGAGGAGAAGGAAAGGAGGAGGAGGAGGAGGAAGAGGAGGAGGAGGAGGAGGCGTAGGAGGAGGTGGAGCAGCAGGAGCAGGGCGAGGAGGTGGAGGAAGGAGGTAGAGGAGGTGGCAGAGGAGGAGGATGATGAGGAGGTGGTTGAGGCGCAGGAGGACGGAGGAGGAGCGGCCCCCCCAGGGTGACGGGCGGACATATTCCTACCCGTGCGTGCTGAGCGGCCCGGCGGAGCCCGATTGGGCGCAGCTCTTCGAGATTGCCAGGCTAATTCCGAAGGCAAGCCGCCGCGCCTCCAGAGGAGGTCGTCGCCGCCGTCGTCGTCGCCGTCGGCTTCGCTTTTGCTGTCGTCCGTTGTCTGTCGTCTGTCGCCGTCGTCCATCGTCCGTCGCCCGTCCGTCTGTCCGCCTGTCCGCCTGTCCGTCGTCGTCGTCGTCGTCGTCGTCGTCGTCTGTCATCGACGTCGTCTTCTGTCGTCGTCGCCATCGTCGTCGTCGTCGTCGTCGTCGCTTGTCGTCGTCGTCGTCGTCGTCGTCGTCGTTGTTTTTTTGTTACATCGTCGTCGTCGTCGTGATCGTTGTGGTCGTCGTCCGTCGTCTGTCGTCTGTCGTCCATCGTAATCGTCGTTGTTGTTGTTGAACTCTCATTCCTGAAGAACAGTTATTGTTGATCCCCTCCCACCGGTGCGTAGTGTTTTTCTTAATCAAACTGTGCCCCTCGACGCTCGCACCTTGTTTTTTGACAGGGAAAGTCTTGGTGGTCAAACTCAGCCCCTGGCCCCCCGGGTTAAAACAACAACGGCTCCCGCCTGAGACTTCCTCGCAATTTAGCCAGGACCCCCGCTCCCGCCCGAGACCTCCTCGCTTTTTATGCAGGAATGGCGCTCTCGCTTGGGACTTCCTTACAATTTATTCAGGAGTCGCTCTCCCGGCGCTCTGGAGTCGCGCTCGCGCTGGAGACTTGCTTGCAATTTACTGACGAATAGCGCCCTTGCGTTGGAATTTCTTGCAATTTAAGCGCTGCGCTCCCGACACCCAGGCACCCAGGAGTCGCGCTCACGCTTAGGACTTCCTCACAGATTACCTAGGAATCGGGATCTCGCTGCCCTTCGTGGCCCCGTTGCAGCCCTTCGTGGCCCCCTTGCTTTGTTTCGTGGCCCCGTTGCAGCCCCTTGTGGCCCCCTCGTTTTGTTTCGTGGCCCCGTTGCAGCCCCTCGTGGCCCCGTTGCTGCCCTTCGTGGCCCCGTTGCAGCCCTTCGTGGCCCCCTCGCTTTGTTTCGTGGTCCCGATGCAGCCCTTCGTGGCCTCCTCGCTTTGTTTCGTGGCCCCGTTGCAGCCCTTCGTGGCCCCGTTGCAGCCCTTCGTGGCCCCCTCGCTCCCCTTCGTGGCCCCGTTGCAGCCCTTCGTGGCCCCCTCGCTGCCCTTCGTGGCCCCATAGATTTATGCCCTTCATGGCCCCCGCTCGTTCGCGCCCGTGGTGGCCCCATCTGCATGCCGTTCGTGGCCCCGCTGTCGCCCTTCGTGGCCCCCATCGCTGCCCTTCGTGGCCCCGTTGCTGCCCTCGGTGGCCCCGTCCTTGCCCTCCGCGGCCCAACATACGTATGCCCTTCGTGGCCCCCGCTCGTTCGCGCCCGTTGTGGCCCCATGTGTATGCCCTTCGTGGCCCCGCTGTCGCCGTTTGTGGCCCCCTCACTGTCCTACGTGGCCCAGTTGCTACCTTCAGTGGCCCCATCGTTGCCTTCTGTGGCCCCGCATTATCTGCCCTTCGTGGCCCCCGCTCGTTCGCGCTCTTCGTGGCCCCATACGCATTCCCCTGGTGTCCCCGCTGTTGCCCTTCGTGGCCTACTTCGTGTCCTTCGTGGCCCTGCTGTCGTTCGCTCTCGCTCTCGCTTTCGCTCGTCGTCGTCGTCGCCGTCGTCGTCGTCGCCGTCGTCGTCGACGTCGTCGTCGTCGTCGTCGCCGTGGTCGGTCCCCTGTCCGTCCCTCTTGGGGTCGGGTCGACGGTCCGCGGCCGCCCCGCCGATCAGCGCTGCCGTTGTCCAGGCCAACTGTCCGCGGCCGCCCCGCCGCTTGCCAGGGCCCGGCCTGCAGGGAAGAAAGGTATACCCCCCAAAAAGGGTTCGATCGAAGACGAAGAGTGCGGGTATCGAGGGTTTGGGAAATACGCGTTATGGGATACTCGAGCAGATAAGGGCGAACAGTCTTAATGATTGCTGTTGAACTCTCATCCCCGAAGAATAATTGTTGTTGTTCCCCTCCGTCTGGTGCGCATGTTTTTTTCGATTGAAGTGCCCTTCCCGGGGCTCGCACCTGGTTTTTTATCAGGGAAAGTCTTGAAGGTCAAACTGTGTTGTTGGCCCCCGGTTTGCAACAATAGCGGCTCCCGCCTGATACTTCCTTACAATTTATTGTAGAATCGCGCTCTCGCTTGGGACTTCCTTTCAATTTACCACCGCATTGCGGCTCCCGCTTGATATTTCCTTACAATTTGTTGAAGAATCGCGCTCTCGCTTGGGACTTCCTCGCGACTTACCACCGAATCGCGGCTCCCGCTTGATACTTCCTCACAATGTATCCAGATGCCGCTCCTCGCCAGTCAAGAATCGCGCTCCCGCTACATACTGCCTGACGGTTCAAGCAGAATTCACGCTTCAACGACCCGCCCGCTCGACCCGCCCGTCTGGGCCTGGCCGCCCGACCAGCCCGTTAGGGACTGCAGTCGCCGCTCGCTGCCCTTCGCCCGCCTTCGATGCCTCTCGCTGCCCGTACTGGTTCCGTGGTCGCCTTCGCTCGCTGCCCTTCGTGGCCCCGTTGCCACCCTTCGTGGCAGGGAATGAATATACCCCGCGATCGAAGACGAAGAGGGCGGGAATCCAGGGTTGGGGATATGCATATTGAATGGCACGCGAGCAGATAAGAGCGAACAGTCTTAACATGATTGTTGTTGTTGTTGTTGTTGTTGTTGTTGTTGTTGTTGTCGTTGTTGTTGTTGTTGTTGTTGTTGTTGTTGTTGTTGTTGTTGTTGTTGTTGCTGCTGCTGCTGCTGTTGTTGTTGTTGTTGTTGTTGTTGTTGTTGAATATTCACTTCTGAATAACAATTATTGTTGATCCCCCCTCACTGGTGCATATTTTTCCCTCAGTCAAAGTGTGCCCCTCGACGCTCGCACCCTGTTTTTTTGACAGACATGGGCCCTTGGCCCCCAAGACTACAACAACAACGGCTCGCGCCTGAGACGTCCTCCGAATTTACTCAGGAATCCCCCCCTCCCGTCGAAGACTTCCTCCAAATTTATTCAGGAACGGCGATCCCGCTTGAGACTTCCTCACAATTTAGTCCGGGTCAAACTGCGTTGCTGCTCCCCCGGATTGCAACAACAACGGCTCCCGCCTGAGACTTCCTCCAACTTTACTCAGGACCCCCGCTCCCGCCTGAGACTTCCTCCCGATTTACTCGGGGATCGGCGCTCCAGCTTGTGACTTCCTCGCAATTTAGTCGGGACCTCCCCTCCCGTCTTAGGCTTCCTCACAATTTACTTGAGAACGGTGCTTCCGCTTAAGATTTCCTTGCGCTTTAGTCTAGACCCCCGCTCCCGCCAGACATCCCCTTTCCAGGAATTGCGCTCTCGCCTGTGACTTTTTAGCAGTTTATTCAAAAATCGCGCCATCTACGCTCAGGCACCACGCTCGCGCCAAGGACGCCGTCACACTTTACTTAGGAATCGCGCTCTCGCCCTACTCAGGCATCCCGCTTGAATGTCCCACCCGTCCGACCCACCCGTCAGAGGATCGCCCGCCCGTCGTGGGCTGCCGCCCGAGACTTCCTTGTGGAATGGCGCTTTCGCCTAGGACTTCGAACGTTCGCATTCTTACCTTCCTGCTCCTCCCTCCTCCCGGGCCGCCCCCCCCCCTCCTTCCGATTCCCTTTCCTTCGCACGTCAGCTGATGTTGAGCTTTCATTCCCGAAGAATGATTTCTGCTGGTCCCCCCCACCGGTGCGCATTGTTTT